ACATTGCATTCCAGTGAAAGACTCTCTATTTTGAGGAAACTTGAAAACATCCACGTATTGTATTCGTCTTCCTATCTGGCGAAATGAAGCAGTTCTCTTTGTTAAGGAATTACTGGGCTCTACTTTCCACATAATTATAGAAATCTAATAAATTATATGCAACTGAAGCACATGCTTTGAAACTAACGACTGCCTGTTTCAACGACATGAAAGATGAAGAAAGCCTTGTAAGACAAACAAGAAAACTTTCTGCACGATTTCTTCGCCAGTTTGAACAACAACCAGAAGGAAAGGCATTGTTCAATTTAGCCATGAATTGGGAGAGATGAAATAAAATATCTTCGCAATAGTGCAAACGATGACTGCCTACCTTTGAAGTTGGCTGTGAACCATAAAAAAACAAGATATTCTTTTAATTCAATCCTACAGGGATGCTTTTACAATGTAAGACAAATTCACGTCATACAGGTAAGACATGTGCGGCATTATTGGTGGTTTTGGGAATATTTTTCAATGAAATAAATATCACTGCTTTGGTTCCTTTGTAATGATGTACATTTTTAATTACATGAGGCTTGTCAGTACTACACGTAAATTTTCATTTAAAGATTGTGTACGTTTTTTTTTCTCTGAACTGAATTGCCATTTTCAAAACTACTAGTGTTCTAGGCACTTTTTCTCCAGAATAACCAGTGGTGAATTTGTTAATGAGGACGTTCAACAATGTAATGCAACAAATACAAATAAGCATGAAGAAATGTTCAAAACCAACATTTCATTTCCCTGAATTACGCCAGCTTCCCTCACATTCAAGCAAAATTTAAAGAACTTGCCATATGGTGGGAAGCAGTCATTCGCATTCTTCTGGTCTTTTTAGACTATTTCGTTTCTTTTTCAAAGCTTGAGATTTATGCAAATTATGTCTAGAATCATGAGAAATTTGGAGGAAAGGTTATTTCTTTCAAAAAAATAGCAGTTGCCAATGTGAAGAACATGTTCATGAAAGGGGTTACCCAAAACCATTGCTTGGGTTTAAGGTTCTCTTGCCATGTACTATCAAGAGATTTGAGGCAAACAAGGTTGAAAGCATGACCGCATTTACTCGAATTAGCACCGACCTTGAATAAGCGCCGTATTTGAGACAAAAAAGTGATAAGTGCCACCAAGAGCCATGGCTCTTGGTGCCACAGTCCCGTTATAATCAAAATCAAAAGACATTAATTCCGTTAGTTTAATACCGCAAATAACAATATCATGGCTAAAACAATTCTTTGTTGTATCCAACTTTCAAATTAACGCCACCCTCAAATAAGTGCTGCATTTGAGGTGTGAAAAATTTAATAAGTGACTCAGTGCTTATTTGAGTAGATACGGTATGCCAATTAATGACCGACCAATTTTCGAATATGTTCTTTCAAAAGTAAAGGTTTGAAAGGACACATGTCCTTTCAAGCAGGAAAAATTATTTCCAGCACCTTCATATGTCTGTGAACCCTAAGGACTTGGATGTTAACTTTGTCCTTCCAAATTTTAACCTGTGTTTATTTGAGAATGAAGCTGATGAGGAAGCTGAATTGTAATCTTAGTTAAGAAGAGGATTCTAGTCCATGATTGAAAATTTTATCGTACACTGTTGGTCACAGTTAAGAAGACAAGAATGGAGTTGCAGAGATCAAGTCATTTTGCGAAAGAAACACAAGCAATTCCTTTGACAGTGAAATTAACAAATGTAACTGCACCTAATCAGCTCGACAGGCTTCTGTGACATGCAGTGTTTTATCAATGACCAACAAATGAAAGATGGAAGAGATTTCGAACCAGACACAGTATCCAGTTTTCAAAAGAACCAAGTGAACTAAAACTTTGTTCTTATTTTTGACTGCCAAACAAACTTTTGACGTGGCGCATTTGCATTATGATTTCACTTTCAATGGAAAGCTTTTGTAAAGTGCTATTGTCTTTGTGAGCCAATAAAATCTGTTTTTTTTGTGATGCCTGTCAAATGACCATTAATTGACTTGTCCTGCACTTGTTTTTGGTTCCCCAAAACAGAAAGCCATATAATAAACATCTTACTAGCCTTGCTTTCACGGTCCATGCTGTAAACTACGGATCATGTTTTTTTCCCATTGATTTATGACCCACATAAAAAGTGTGTTTCGTAATTTACAGTACGGACCTCAAACTCGTCTACTAAGAGGTATATAATATAAAATGGTTTTGAAGCGTTGTGAAACCACAGTCAGTACATGTATTTTCATATAGAGTATTATATTACTAGAATCACAATCAACATATTGCTCTACTCACAAAGTATATGAATCAGAATGGAAAAAAAACCTTTAAATATAGAAGGAACTTTACACAGGCCCACATGTGTACAGTATTGAGCATTTTAGGTTTCGGTTTATCCACTTGAATGGAAATGGAAAGTACGAAAATTGCATTTTACTGTCCAGTCGACCACAAATCTTTGCGTTTAATAATGAACATTGCACGGAAATTGAGCTTTAATAACAGTTTCGAAATACTGAAAGTGTATCGCTTAGGTACAAGTCGCTTTCGATTCGAAAGTTGCATGAATGTAGGCAAAGTATTAAGCAAAAGAAACATGGGATGTCTGGCTTTTTTTAAAAGACACAGTCCCCATATTATGACCATTTGTAAGAACACTAAAATGTTGCTCTTAAAACCAGGGGAATCTAATAAATTGACTCGGGTATAAACTCTGCACGTACTCGTTTTAGCATAGATTACTATTAAGTTAATAAAGTTTAATTTTGAATTCAAAAATCACGAGGGTCATGCCCATGTAAATGTCGTTTAAATGAAAGGGTGTGTGAATTACTACTCGATCTAACTCATA